CTTGTTTTGGACCATTACTAAGGTAGTGTACTGTGAATTTTCCTTTCTGTATTAAAGGCTGGACTGGTTGGCTAGATATCTTCTATCACTTCTGCCTCAGTGTTCCAAGTTTTGGGATCCCATGAGGGGCTCTGTGGGGACTAAGAGAAGTTGGCACCAGATAACTGGGTATTGTGACAGGCCTGGTCCTGCTGCATGTTGGCAGATTTGAGCCTTCAGATTAGGAAAGCGGGTGAGTATGTTAAGGGGAGCTTAATGGGTCATCCTAGTTGAAGCATGAAAGACAGTGCTGGGGGAGATTTGAACTGCAGGGGTCCAGCCCAAGAAGTTTCAGAGGGAAAGAAAATGAGGAAGTAGCCAAGAGATCATTCTTGTGATATTTTGGCAGGGAATGTGGCTACTTTTTTGCCCTTGTCCTGAGACTAAACTGAAGAGTTTTTAGATTAATGGCATTGGCAAAGATTTCAAGATAGCCTAGTATTGACTGTTGTGTGGTTATCAGTGGTCACACCTATGCCAATCTATAATGAAAAAGAGCAAGCTTAACAAGGAAGAATACAAATTGTACAATTTGAGGAGAAAAGGAATACTAGGAAGTATAATGGAGCTAAGTCCAGTGCTCAAGTAGACAAAATATTTAAAGAAAAGCCTGGTGTTAAATGGAATAAAGGGAGTGATGGCATCAGGGCAAGTCCCCACCCAGCTAAACTTCCAACTTCTGGAAAGGAGCTAAAGAAAAGCTTAATCATTGAACAGAGAAAAGGAAAGCAGATGCAGATGCAATTGAAGGAGGGGCCATGGTCCAGCCCTAGAAAGTAACAGTACCTGGCAGCTTCGGCCTCCTGGTTCTGGCTTTAAGATCAAGGATACAAGAAAGGGGTTATGGAATCTCCCCTCCCCCCATGACTGAGAAAACACAGTGAGTGAGGTCAGACGTGTTAGGATGTCCCTACATGGAGGCCCAGACAAGCCATTGTGTGAAGCTGTGAAGGTGAAGCCTGGATTGCCATGGAGACCCCAAGATGATAGAGATGCCAGAGTTGTTGGATACCTGCTGAGGAGAGCTGCTAACAGGGAGTGGAATCAGCCCATGAAAAAGAAGTGTGCTGCAGTCAACAAAGCTGAATGGAGTTGGAGATCTGAAGAGCTCTTTAACATAAAGCACAGAAATGTAGAATTTGGAGTTTTCATTGTTGCTTTTCTGTCTTACTTTGGTCTAATATCTCCTTTGCTCCCTTTCCTCCCTTTTGGAATGGTAATTGTTAGGAATTTTTCCTAATGTGAGCTCTCTGCTGATGCAAAAATCCCAATCAAGCCAAATCACAACAAGCCAAATTAAGAAATATTCCAGGTTTAATGGGATTCTTGCGCTCTTGGGAGGCCACTAATGTGTTCCTCTTTGGGGAGCTCACTTAAATACCCTGTGGGAGTGGTCCTGACCCCTGGCATGCTGGGATTTGGAGTCCAGACCAATAGAACTCTCAGGCTTGGGGGCTGGGATGGATGCGAGGGGCTGGGGTCTACACCCCCAACTTAACAGTAATGTGTATTCTGTGTTATTATATGTTGAAAATATGTGATCTGCCTTTTGATTTTGATTTTACAAGGGGTTACAGTTAGGAGATGGCCATGAGTCTCAAGAGATTTTGAACTGTTAAACATTATTGAGACTGGTAGACTATGGGGACTTTTGAAGTTGGACTGAGTGCATTTTTTCCCATTATGATATATCTACGAGCCTATGGGGGTCAGGGAGTGGAATGCGGTGGTTTGAATAAGAATGGCCCCCATAGGCTCCTTAGTCATCAAGGGAGTGGTACCATATGGGAGGGATTCGGAGATGTGCCCTTATTGGAGTGAGTGTGGCCTTGTTGGAGGAACTGTGTCATTGGGATTAGCAGCTCTCTCTCTTCCTGCTGCTTGTGGTTCTGATGTAGAGCTCTCAGCTTCTTCTCTAGCACCATGTCTGCCTGTGTGGTGCAATGGTCTCCCAGCCATTGTGACAATGGACTCAACCTCTGAAACTGTAAGCCAGCCCCAATGAAACGCTCTCCTTTATAGGAGTTACCGTAGTCATGGTGTCTCTTCACAGCAATAGAATACTAAGGCAGCTATCTAACACAGACCTAATTTGTACTCTACCTCTTCCCTCTGTCACCATAAGAAATGCCAGATCAGCACCTCCCTCTCATCGTCTCTCACTACCCCCTTTCTGGCCAGTTCAGAGGTGAGTGTGGCTGTCATCTACATGCCTTTTTCTTGTAATTCCTCCCATTTGATGGCAATTTTGAACACAGGTCAACCTTAGTTGGTTTTCTGGAAGACCTTAGTTGTATGTCTTATTGTCTAGATAAGGGGCTAAGCTAGTTTGCTTGACGCCTTGTCCCATACATGCTACTTGGAGGGATTGTAGTATTCTCTCATCCATCCTGTCTCCATACACAAGTGCACCCCATCTGTCAAGGAGGCATGGCACTCCATACCTTGAGATCCACCCCGCCCCTCCTCAGACCCAGCAGATTCAGTGGTCTATTTTTTACCCCCAGCATGTACACTGGAAGCCATGCCACCCTGTGCCACATTTGGAAGGGTTGTCTAGGTGGAGTCTCCACACTCAAACAGCAAGCTTCCAAGAGTGTGAGTGCTCATCACAAAGCCGTCTTTGGTTCCAGGATGCCGCAGGCTCGGGCAACAAGTACTGTGTGAACAGATGTCTATTAAGCTGGAGAAGGAACCAACAACAACAAAAACAATCATATACTCATCTAGTGTGATAACCAGTGAATTTACCGGGGTTACTTATGGGAACATGAGTGAGGGGTTTCAACAGGAGCATGGGAAACTTACAAAAGACTGCATCTTGAGGAAAATCTCTCCCTCTCAGCAATTGTTCACTGCCTGTGTGTCTTCAGAGAGGGGTAGACTTCTTGAGCCTTTCCACCCCAGCAACCGTGAACTGCCCATACTCCGGGAGGGGCCACCAGCAGGAGCCTTTGCCCCCCTCCATTGTAGAATAACAGTGGACCCAATCTTGTGCAGGTCTTCTGCAGATGATGACAGCTGGTGAGAGTTAGAGACCAGCAGCTACACCATGCTTAATGTCCACAACAACCAGTAATTGATTAGTACTGGGCAATTAAAGATAGAGGAGGGAAAATAGAATGAGTGAGCAGTGGGTACAAGAGGGGAGAGGATGCTGTTGAGGCTAAAGAAGGCATGAAAAGAGATGTCATCATGTAACCTTAAATAGCCTCCGCTCTCAGGAGACTCAGAGACCCCACCAAACAGGCCAGCCTGTGTTCTTTGAGAAAGCCTGTCAAAAGTTAGAAAGGAAGAGGGGGAAAAAAAAGAATGAGAACAAAAAACACTGGCCTGCAAGTTGATCCTGGGTATTGAATAAAGGGATAAATGTAGGGGAGGGGGCTGGGTGAGGCACCCACTGAATGTAATCTCTTGACTGTTGCTGTTGTCAGCCAGGATTCTGTGCCCCTTCCTAGGCCCTCTGATGCCAGGCACACCTGTAGACAGTCAACTGCAAGGTTGGGCCATGAAAACTGATCCTGTCAGTTGTCCGTCCTTCTGGGAAGAATCACAGGTGTGGGCGAACTTCTGGTCAGTCTTCAGGGGTCAGGTGGTGATTGCTGTCCTTATCACAGTGCTGCCCTGTCCTCATGAGTCAAGTGGCAGGTACTGGCCTCTCCTTCCTGATGCTGGGCACTTGGCTTGAAAGCCTGCCAACTCTGGCTTTGACTAGGTTTGTCGCTTGCTGAATAGCCTTTGTTGCCAAGTTCCCTCCAACAGTCTAGAGGAAATCGGCTGTTCAGGTTCCAGCAAAGTCTAGGGCATTTGTTCCAGGTTCCCAGAGTGTTTGGGGCAGAGATCTTAAAATGGTTTCTGAGCCTCTCTTGTTGAATACCCAGAATATCAGAAGTTTCTGTTGCTGGAGTAAACACTATGACTTATTGTAACTTGGGGAAGAAAGGGCTTATATGACTTACAGGTAATGGTCCATTTTATGGAGGGAAGACAAGGGATGACTCAAGCCAGGAACCAAAGCAGAGACCTTGGAGGAATGATTACAGGCTTGCTCCCAATGGCTTGCCTGCCACGGACCGTCCCTCTCGGAGACCACTATCCACGGGAGAACAGGGTGAAGGATAGGATAGCCAGGATACGATGCAAGGGAAATGACAGACAGACACACTGTGTAGTGAAAATCTGCTGCGATTTTACTTCTGCAAAGCTTCAGTTTTTGTACAAAACAGATCAAAGAACTTGGCAGGTGCATTACATCACCCCACTCAGGGTTCCAGACATAAATCAAGATTAAGCATAACCAAAATAGAGCTTCTTCTACGTGCTCCTTTCTACGTGTTCCCCCTTCCGTGCTCAAGATGTTGGCAAGGACTTTTAGTTTTGTTTTGTCTTTTAGAATTCTGTCTCACACCATTATTTACTTTCTACCGTGGGTGACTAGTTCTCAGGGTCCTGTGTTTAGCTTTCCATCTATATAGTTTTTATTCTTTGTTCCATATCTCCTAATAGTTTTCTCATTTTCTCATGATAGTTCTTATACCAATATATTAAAACTAGTCTCATGTTATCAATAATTTCCTTTCTTTCCTTCTTATTATAAAGACTCCAGGGTTTCTGAGATCTAGCTAATCTTTTCATAAAGGGGAATTTTCTCTAACTCTCCTTTTCTTCTCTAAATCTGATTCACCTTGATGATTCCCTCGTAACATATTAACCTTAGCCGCTTCTGTTTCATAAATAATAAAGTTTCCCAGGCTCATGTGGCGTGGGGCATACTTCAGTTCCTCAAGGACTGCTTTATTGAACAGTGGAGCCGAGCCAAGGACGTACTTTGATCTCTTGGTAAGCGGTCAGCTATAAACAAGAAAGTTAAGAAATACAGAGAAAGATCAGGCAAGGTGTTAGGAGGGCTCGCTCTCAAGGCCATCTCCAGATACGAGATTTGCCTAGGGCATCAGGTCCTCTCTGGACTGCTGATTGCCAGGGGGACCACCTGGGGCTTCGCTCCAAGAAGCTCTAACCCCAATCCTTCAGCAGGCAAAAGCCAGCGCAGAGGCATTTTGTCACTACACGGCAGTCACTGCTGTGGACGTGGCAGGTCTCCCTTTTTTATTTTTAAAATGAAGCTCGAACACCTCCTGTTCCACTGCCTGTAATGAAGAGAATAAGCACTTTAAGAGACAGGGGAATAAAAAGATGACCAATACTATCAAGAGTATAATTACTCCAATGAATACAAAGTACTGTACCCAATTTAAGGGATTAAGGCTCTTAAGTCCACGTTCCAATTGTGAAGCCAAATCTTGCAGTCCCCCTAATTGTAAATGAGATTGACTCATAGCAGAAATATCCTTTTGTAATGAGGCTAAATCATGAGTAATATCGTTATCCTGCCACAATCCCTGTAGGTGAGCCTTAACTTTATCCCATGGCTGTGAAGTATTATAAGGTAATGGTGTGACACAGATTGATTTAAAATTACCATGACAACGTGTCGATAGAGTTGTTTTTAAATTAGCAATGTCCTGACCAAGAGCGAGCACTACTTCCTCCAGCACATTTATTTTTGCTTCCAGCTTCTTTTTGAAATGAAGAAATCCAACCAGAATTAACCTAACATAGTCAAATTTCCAACACGTTTTACGGTTTCTTTTCAAATTCAGTATTTGCAGGTATGAGAAACCAAAGCAAATACAGTTCGCGCCCCCTCTGGCCTTCTACAACTTCCCACACACCCTCGGTCAGACTTTTCCTGTCACCCTCTGCTCTTCTGGCCCAGCCAGACGTTTTACTTTAGACGAACTCCTCTTTCCCTTCCCTTCTCTTCACTATTCCAGTCTCCTGCCTTCTCTTACTTTCCACACAACATGAAAACTTTTACCAAAGTCCTTCCTGTGGTTCCTCTCTGGACTTTGACTTCTTTTCCTTAAATCTCTCTCTTTCTAAGCAGAGACACAAGGAGCCTTTGCAGAGCATACTGCTTTTATGCAAATCTCTTCTTTCCCATAAAAATGGCCCATTGCTTTTGCCCCCCCTTTTTTACTATACTTAAAGCTGCTCTAGTTTCTTCTCTTTGAAGACTTCTTCATTTGCTGCTGGAGCTGCTTTTTCTGCTTCCGCCACCGTCTTTTCCTTCTTCTGTTTTGCAACAGCAGGTCGGATGAGGCGATCTGGGATCCAAATGGGGGAGTCAGCATTCTGTGGAAACACACAAGCATACCCTCGTCCCGAGGTGATTAGAACATCCCTGTTCTAGTTTTTTGGCTCTTTAGGTTCTTCCTCTCCTTCTTTAGTGAGAGGAGAGCCATTTTTATAATATTTTGATTTACACTCACTACTCCAATGTTTTCCCCTTTTGCACCGAGGACATATGCCCGGTAAACTTTTTTGTCCTGAGCTTTTGGATTTCTTGCAATCCCTTTGAATGTGCCCAGGTTTTCCACAATTATAACAAGTAGGAGCGGTGATGTCTTCTGCACCCCCTCCATATTAAATTCTATACTATAGAAGTAGCAAATAACAGATATCTATACAACAGTAAAAATAGACTCATACCTTTGAGCCCCAGCAAAAACACAGAAAGTCCTGAGCTTGTAACCCAAACAGCATGTAGTCATAGTTTTTACTGTTTATTAGTATTATCTTAAATTACTTTTTAAACCTTTAATGTTTATGAACTTTTATATCCTCAGACCTTTATATATAATGAGCTAACAAGCTGGCCGTAGCTTTGTGTAAGGATCTGGATATCCTTTTTGCTCTTAAACTGATATTATAGCTGACCTAGCCATTAATACAATCAGAGATCTTAGAAGAATAAACAAATTATACTTAAGTCCAGACAAAACAGAAAAGTGACAGAGACCAGCTCATATAAAGTCATACCCAGGTCTGCATAGCACTTGAGGCAGAAGTATCAGAACAGCAGGCTTTACCAAATCCATAAAGTGATTGGTTTCTGTGGAAGAGGGACATGCAAAAGACTGACCTTACTTCATCTGGGCAAAGTGGTGCAATCAATTTTCCAAGGTCCTCCTGTTTGTCCCCAGTCTGGACCAGACCCAGGCAGCTGGTGTTGCACTGGGCTTGCCCAACCTGCTTTTTTATACCACACAGATCCACCTGTCTAGGGATGACACCACCCACGTAGGGCTGGATTCATCAAGAAAATGCTCCCAAGGTCATGACCTGTCTGGTGGAGGCACTTCTTCAATTTAAGAGTCTCTCTTCCCAGATGGCTTCAGTTTGTGTCAAGTTGACAGAAATTAATCACCGCACATGGTGTCTCCCTTCCCATTAAAAAAATGTTTGCTTAAGAAGAGTATTGTGTGGTTTTCCGAATCCCTCTGCTTTAGACTGTTGCTCCTCTCTCCCTGGGAGGAGAGAAATTACCTAAACTCTTTTGTTTTGAGACAGGGTTTCTCTGAGTAGCCCTAGCTGTCCCAGAACTCACTCTGTAGACCTGACTGGGCTCGAACTAGAGATCCTCCTGTCTCTGCCTCCTGTGTACTAGGACTAAAGGCATGCACCACCATCACCCGGCAGTAACTTTTTTTTTTTTTTTTTTTTTTTTTTTGTTTTTCGAGACAGGGTTCTTCTGTGTAGCTTTGGTGCCTGCCCTGGAACTAGCTTTTGTAGACCAGGCTGACCTCGAACTCACAGAGATCGAATGCAGGGATTAAAGGTGTGCGCCACCATCTCCCGGCCTAGAAACTATTATTTTTTATGGTCTACTATCACATCTAGAGAAGCTGTAAAGAACTAGGAAAGTAGGAATATCGAAAGCCAGTATGAGGAAATTTCTTCCTTTCCCATCTTCTGGGTGGAATCTAAAAAGTTTTCTGACGTCTGTAGGTTGGCTGGAAGGTTAGCCGAATTCTGGGGTGAAAGCCATGGCTCTTGCTTCATTCCCAACGGATTCTGACTCTGGCTTCAGCTTCTTGCTGTGTTAAGACTTTGGGTGTGCTGAGTTTGACTTTCCATGCCTCGGTTTAGCACTTGAGACCACATGTACCCGCCCCCGAGTAGCTCTAATGAGCGTTGTAATTACCCATCACAGCGCTCCAGCCGCATGGGAGGGCCACGGTTCCACGGAGCCCAGGGAGACTTCTCACTCCCGGGGTGAAGGGCGCAGCGCCAGAAAGTTCCCAGCCTCGGAAAGCCGTTTGCCTCCGGGCTGGAAAACCTCGGGTTGCGCTCTAGGTCGCTCTAGCCCTGGTCCGCCAGGGCTCTGTGGTGGGAGGCCTGGGGGCGCCTGCGCACTGCACTATGGCGACGGGGCGGCCGAGAGGGAAGCTCAGGCTGCGGCTGCGGAGAGGGTTGGTGGTGAGTGCTGCGCGGTAACTGTCCAGCCGCCTCCAGGGAGGGGTGGATTGGCTGTCCCAGAACCCAACTCGATCTGCGCCCCTGGCTATTCCGCCTCCACGCGGGACCTCATCGCGGCCTGACTTCAGGAGTCCCGGGGAGCCCCCGCACACCCGAGCCAGCGCTGTCCAGGTAGCTAGCTGCCCCCTCACCTCCCCACCCCCCCACCTCCCGGGTTTGTACTTACTAATTGCTCCTGTTGAGCCAAGTACAGGGGTCGGCAGCATCAGGTGCCTGTTGCCTCGAAGACACCCTGTTTCCGTTTTGGAGAAAACTGAGGGTTTCTCCATAGGGCTGCATGCAGTCATTCCTGGATTGGACCGGACCGCCATAGACTTTTTGCCTCCCAACATCTATCGTATGAGTTGACCTTCTGTTTAAAGGCCTCCTGTGTCTAAGGGTTGTCATTCTCTTCTAGACCCACTCAGTTTTCGAATTTCTCCCTGTATGATGTCCCAAAGTTGTAGCCATGAAGTTCTCAAAGCAGACCAGAACCCTAAATCAGCCAACTAAACATGATTCTAGACAAGTCTCCTAACTTCTCAAGGCTTGTCTGAAGTGAGGGAAATACAGGTGACTGTGTGAATGAAAGGAGCTGAAAGATGCGCCCTCCCCTGGCCGCGCCCCCCACCATGGGCACATAAGCGCTCTGTCAGTTATGAGATATATTTGGTTTTTTTTCTTATGTGTATGGATGTGTGCCTGGCTGTATGACTATGCACCATGTGTGTGCAGTGCCCACAGAGGAGGGTTTTGGATCCTCTAGGACTGGAGTTAACAGATGGCTGTGAGTCACTATGCGGATGCTGGGACTTGAACCCAGGTCCTTTGGAAGAGCAGTAAACGCTCTTATCCATTGAGACGTCTCTGCCTCCTAATTATTTCTTTTCAAAAAGCAATAACACACCGTTCCTAATTGGTCATACAGAAAGCTCTTTTCAAATTATGCTAAGAAGTGCTCAGTGAGATGGATGTTTTGGTTAGATGATGATGATGTATTTGATGGTTGCTTTGGGGAGGGCTATGTGTCAGGAATTCCAGAAATGCCAGTTGTTGGTTGGTTTTTTTAAATGCACATCTAAAAGTCCCTGGGAAGCAATTTATAGTGCATAATATGCAGAAAGAGATAATCAGACAATTGTATGTAATAGCTGAAAGCTTTAACCTTTTAAAATGGGAATTTTAAAGGAAAAGGAGAGTAAGACAGGTCCCTCTGTCCCTCTGTCCATCACTATCAACGGGCATCAGTGTTTTGCACATCTTGTTTTATGAAAAATTGGGAACTGTTAAATGTTGAAAAGTAAACCGGAGTACATTTGGAGTGCTCAGATACCTTGAATTCACAATTGTGATACATCGCAACCACGAACATTCAAAATCAAAGAAGCATCCAATCTAGAAAACAAGACAAGAAAGTGCCGTAAACTGTTAGCTGATTTCCCTTTAGTGGTAGGAATATGAGTGACACCCCCCCACACACACACTCACTCGTTTTATAGTCCTGTGTGTAACAGCTCTGGAAGTACCTGAACTGAGCACAGCTGCACACCAGAGCCAGTTCATTCATTAATGTGTTCACTTTCCTTGACCCACGTTTCTGTCCACAATCTTATCTGCCACCTGGAGCTAATGCCTGGTGTTGTGCCTCATGGTCAACTCATAATTCAAATCTTTAAGAATATTTTTAATTTTAATTTTATTTATTAATTGGGGTGTGGGGAGCTGTGGGGATTAGTAGATAAAGTTCACAAATGGTTTTCCCTCTTTCACTGTCTGAGTCCTGGGGGTTGAACTCAGGCCATCAGGCTTGGTGGCAAAAGCCTTTATCCCTGAGCCAGCTTGCTGTCCCTGTATATCCAAATCATTATTAGCAACTGTCTTCTAGGTGTAACTGATATTACTGTAAAATTTTATTCCACTTTATTTCTACCAATGTTTCCCAGCAGGATCCAGCATAGAATCCTGGTATAGGATGATGCCCCCTGCCCGATACCTTTTCTTTGCTCTCTAGACAGGAATAGAACCTAGACCGTATGCATTTCCATACTTTTCTAAAACAGCCATTTCAAATAACTTAAATAAGGTGATGAACTCCTAGTCCTGTTTTCTCTCAAATAGATTGCAATGGAATTTGACCAGAAGTCCATTTTGCTTTTGGTGAGGGCTAGAGCTGCTGTTGAGGCCACAACACGCTTAAAGATAGTTAGAGGGGGTCACTTCCCAAGAAAAGGGGTGAAGGACATTTGTTTCGTGTTTGTAAAGGAACTTTGTTTCACAGGTATGCAAAGAAGCCTCTTTGTTCTGATGTCTTCAGAGATACTATGGATCAGTCCGGAGTTCTCCTCTGGGTAAAAGCAGAACCTTTTATAGTGGGTGCCTTGCAAGTCCCACCTCCATCCAAATTCAGTCTTCACTACCTCAGGAAGATAGCCACCTATGTGCGGACGCGGGCCACAGAGGGCGCCTACCCACGCCTCTCCTGGTCTACGTGGAGGCACATTGCGTGTGGAAAGCTGCAGCTGGCCAAGGAGCTAGCATGGCTCTACTTTGAAATATTTGATAACCTTTCGGTGAGGACACCCGAGGAGCGCCTGGAATGGTCTGAGATTTTGTCCAGCTGCACGACTGAAGAGGAGGTGGAAAAGCAAAGAAGTCAGGTACATATGGACCGCTGTGTATGTAGTTACTCTGAACAATAACCCCTCCCTCGTTTGTGTCCTAACAGTGCAGCTCGGGCTCTGGGTTGTTGGCCCTTGTGATTCTAAAGTGCGATCTGAATTGTGGCATTTCCAGCTTGGAAGTGTTTTGACGCATGTGATCAGTGTATTAGTCCTTTTGTGTCGTACGTAGTTCATGTTCCCCCACTCCTGAAGGAGCCATGTGCTGGCAGCTCTTCTACTGACTGTAGAAGTATCATGGGGCAGGTGCGCGGCTGATGTTACAGGTAGAGGCGCCTGAGTCTTTAGCAATCTGTTGTTTTCCCCTCACTCAGCCCCTTCATTCTATCTTGACCATCTACAAGTAACTTCTGCTGTATACTAAAATCAAATATTTTTATGACTGTATTTCTTAATTCACCCATTTTCTGTTGCTAATAAGATAATGCCACAGAGGGGGTTGTTTTTAAGGTGCCCTGTTGTGGCTCATTGTCCTGGAGATCCAAGGTCAAGAGGTCACGTGATGGCTATAGCAGTGGTTCTCAACCTCTGGGTCTCAACCCTTTGGAGTTAGATAACCCTTTCACAGGGGTCACCTGAGACCATTGGGAAACACAGATATTTACACTATGATTCATACAGGAGCAACATTACAGTTATGAAGTAGCAACAGAAATAATTTAATGAAGAATTGTTTTAAAGGGTCACAGCATTAGGAGAGTTGAGAGCCACTGGGCTATAGCATCCTTGCTGGTAGAGACCTAAAGCAGTACAGGAGGACATCATGGTGAGAGACACTGTTTTCCTGTGTGTGTACAATAGTCTCTCTTCCACTTATAAAGCTACCAGTATGGAATCTCAGGGCTCTGATCTGATATCTTTATTTAATTCTAGCTGCCGCCTAATCCCACCCAACACTAGTCACAATGTTTTTACCCTCTTAGTCCCTCACCATGAGGATTAAATTTCAACATGAATTCTCAGAATGGACAAATCATGTACAAGCCATAGCGTCCTGCTTCTGTCTCTTGCTCCACGTAGCCCGTACGCTCATAGATGGAGTCATCCTCTATAAATAATCCACAGTCTTAACTTATTCAAGCCGCATCTAAACTCCAGTGTCTCATTTGAGATTCAACGCAAACTCTTCAGTTGTGAGACTGTAAATTCAAGTTATCTACTCAGAGTATATAGTGGGACAGGCTATGGAGTGGGTAAATATTTCCATCTCAAAGACAGTAGTTAAACTGAGAGTAGTAACTGGCCAAGCATGGTGGCACAGGCCTTTAATTCCAGCACTTGGGAGGGAGAGACAGGCGGATCTCTGTGAGTTTGAGGCCGCCTGGTCTACAGAGCGAGTTACAGGACAGCCAGGATGGTTACACAGAGAAACCCTGTCTTGAAAAGCAAAAGAAAAGAAAGTAATGATTGGCCCAGATCACATCCAGAAGCTGTCAGCAGACACAAGTTGTTAAACCTCCGAATTTTCTCGTCTTGGGAAGGGGTTGTATCCCTAACGCCTCGAGTAGCTCTTCCTCCGTGTCTTTGCTAGGCTCAGCCCATACTTAGCTCTCAGCTCAGAGTGTCATGACCACGCCTTTCCCAGATTGGCACTGTAGACTGGTAGTTCCCAGTTACAGAGTCCTGGGGTAGTCTCCTTCCTACAATTTCATTAGGCATGGACCCTCTCTAGCAGGACTCCTGAGCCAGGCCTCTATGTCGCCTTCTAAGTTTTCCTTTGAAATCTGGGTGGAAGCTGCCATGCCTCCATAGCTCTTGCATAATGCATGCCTACAGTAATTGTGAAGCTGCAAGGTGACACTTGCTTTTTTGATTAGGGTTGTTAGCTTTACCTGGCTTGCTCACTCCCTCCTTTGATTATTCTTAGCTGTACCTGGCTTGCCTAAGCCTAGCCGAAGTGGCCAGATGCTCTTCTGGAAAGAACTTCTGGAGAGAACTCTGAAACAGTTCTTTCTCTAAGCCACTGGGCTGTGGTGAGAAAAGTAGCCCCACAGACTTCTAA